AAATGGACATGCTCATTCCAGCTGGCAGAGGTGAAAATGGAGCACAACCATTTTTATATGGAGCACAACTGCTGTGGAAAGTTGCTTTCTGAGCAAGAAAAGGAACAGAATTCTCACTAATCCACATCACCCACAAGGCTTACCCATCTCTTTCCCTTTAAAACCACATGGCTCTGTAGAATTTCCCCTGTAAAGCGGCAGGGGAGTGCAATGACCTGGACTACAGCATCCACAGAAAGTACCACATCTCTCTTCCTCAGCAGGCATGAGTGGCTTGCAGGACACACATTATTTGTGGACAGGCAGTACTTGAAGATACGAGCAACCCTCTGCACACAGGCTCACAGGCATTAGATTCCCATTTTGAAGAGGCTCAGCTAGATCTTGCTGCCTGTGTAAATAACAATGCTTTGGAAGGAAGTTGAAATATATTCTCCATTTCAGATCCATACTTCAGAATGGAGGGAAAAGAAACAAAATTTAGAAATCAATCCTAAAGTCCCCCGAAGGGGAAAGACACAAGAGATTGACACAGCAAGTTCTACTAAGTTATTTAGCTGGTACCGTGAGAGGTGATTAGAATTATTTATTTCCAGCTCATAAACCCACATGCTGCCTCTTTCTCTCTTGCCAATTAACAGTATTACTTAGCACTAATAAACTGCTTTCAATTTCAAGTGGCTTAAGAAGACAAATTAATCACCTCAACATGTCTGAAAGGAACAGATGGCAATGAAGTATTAACATTGCAATTTCACAGTTGGAAAAGCTCCTGAGAGAGGGGGCAGTAGCAGTGTCTGGAAGACACCTAGCCCTGTTCCCTCTGTGGAGCTGGTGGTACCACGATCTCACCTCCACTCTCAGCTTCTGCTTTAACCCAGCCTCACCACACATTACTTTTCCTAGAGCAAAGCTACACTGTTTTCCTTACTCATTCTTTAATAGTGATTTACATCCTTCTAGAAGGCCTCTTACCTCAGCACATCTCCAGACAGGTCGTTACTGCATTGGATTTAAAAGACTAAATGTCTATCCAATAATGCAATTAGTCCAGCCTGTCATTATTCTTACTGGCTATAAGGAGAGAACTGATCAGAAAGAAACACATCGCTGTCTGTACAGTGGAGATGCTGTTTTTCCCTGGAACGTCTTGCTTACATTTCAGTACAGAACAGCTGACTGCCTTTTCCTCTTCTCACTCGCCCATCTCAGATGACTGTGCAAAAGTGTAGCTCTGTGGGGCCTTTTGGCTCAGTTGTACAACACAACCTTTGTTAAGCTACATCTGGAAGGAAGATAGGCTTTCTGTGGAACAGGGGTTCCTAAAGCAAAACATCCAGGTGAGGACCCAACAAATAAATACAATTATTTTAATATTAACTGATATGACAATGACTAAGCAACTGTTTAGTGTGTTGTTTTGGCACTTTTGAAGAACTTGTTTAACTATGGAAGGTTGTTATTTAAAGCATTGAGATAATACCCTCTATTTCAATATTTAACTGCAGTCAAAAATTATCTCAAATTCAAACTGCAATGATAACAGTCAGTGTCAAATATCTGACAGGCTTTGGCCTCTCCTCCTGTTAGGAATGGTAACAGTAAATACTGCTTCAGAAGGAAATGAATTATTCTTAACACCTTTTAAGAACTATTTCAACAGCATACTGATATTAGTATCAATTGCCTTCAATCTCTGCTGAGCCACTGAGCTAAGCATCTCAGCCCATTATCAATCTCAGCCATCAAGTATCAATGTACAATGTGCAATGAAATCCTTCTAGAGCCATTAGTTAGTGTCCAGGGACAACGTAACATATGCAAAATACTGCATTAACTGCAGCTGTTCCCATATGTTAAGGTGAAGATGGCACACTGAGACATAAGGGTTAAGCACCCAGTATGCCAGTGCATCCCTCCCTGAGAATTCCTGGGAAAGGCAGCCCCAATCTGCTCAGCTGGAACTGGTACCTGAGCATTCAGGCTGGGGAGCAGAGGCAGCATGATGCAATGCACTGGTTTTCAAACGGGCTTGAGAAAATAATACATCTTGATTTCACTCTAGCTTGACAAGCATCTGTGTTCCGCATTGACCCATTCAGTTATAAATCTAGTGTGAGTTTTCCTGCTACTTTATTTATATTTAAGAGTAGAACGTAATGGATTTGGATTTTCCTAAGTTAGAAAACATTAAAAAACAGAGTTCTCACATTTACAAGAGTAATACTTCAACAGAGAATACTTAATATACAAAATGGCTGCATTTGATTTTTTTAAAAAATTGAACCCAAATGAAAAATTAATCCAAATAGCCTTTTTTTCAAGACTCCAATTGTACAAGTAAAACAACTTGTTTTATCCTTCTAGCTAATATTCAGATGAATGCTTGTTGTTGGGCTTTTTCCTCAGATTTCCATTATATTCTTGCACTTTAAACCTTTCCAAAAGCGTAGGAAGTCCTCAAACATAAACACTACTTTTTGTAAATAACAGCAATCCTGATTAATAAAGTGAAGATTCAGAATGCTCATAATGAGTGAGCATCAGTTTTTCTGAACTTGCAAATCACTGGTATCCTTTGCCTTTACTTGGAATTTATTTTTCTCTTCCAGGAATGATAATCAGTGTTTAGGACTGTAGTAGCAAGTCATACCAATGTATAAAGTAATGTAATTACAATGTAAGTAAGTGACACCAGAACTGTATGAAATACAAGAATTCTTCCAGGTTTTACAGCACAACAGCCAAAGAATTCAAGGGACTTTGCTGTATTATTCCAGTTCCTTCTGCAAACTCTCTCTTTCTGACCAGTTTGATACTGGTCTTATTATATAATTTTCCTACAACTGGGGGCTTTATTCTGAAGAGTTGCTTGGAATGGCAGTGGTGGGAAGGAGAACACAGATATTCCACATGTCAAAGTATGGATTACAATGACCATGGGAGAAAGGTACTCTTGCTATTTTAAAGCTTTAGTTTGACTCTTCCAATCTTTAATTCTCCTGCACACTCAAGGACAAGCTAACAGACAGCACAAGGTTTTAGATCACTATAGTGCTTAAAATTCTCAAAGTGTAATGTTTGATGAAAGAAAAAAAAATCAACGTTCAATATTCTGGACCATAAAATAAGCTGTATAGAAACTGCTTAGCTAAACTCTAAATAACAGCAGAGTAATTTTATTTAGTTATTCATTACTTCCTTCCTCCTATTAAAGCTTCAATAAAAGGAATTTTAACATCTGGAATGATTATCAGAACTGAGATGCTCACAGCTACAGAGGCACCCTGATTAAGGCATTATATTCCAGTGGTTTCACGCCTGGTTTGTATAAAACTCATTTTTAGCACAGATGTCTTTGAGGCCAAAGTTGCAGGGTCTGAATGAAGCCTCCTTTGTGCAAGATGAATTTCACAGGATCCAGCTGTTAAATCCCACTTTGCCCAGGAGTGAAAACTTGATCTTGAACTACTCTACATCATTAAATTAATGCATCACAGAACATTCCAGCTAGGAGGTCCTACATTTAAGGATTTTGTAGATGAAAGTTTAAAGCTGTCTTAATCACCAGAGGTTCCTCTTGATATCAAATGTCAGGTGAACATTATGAGGACAGTCTGCTAACTTACTGGAACAGAAGTGAAACCAAACCAACAAAGCATAACCACACACATTTGAAGTAACAGTGGGTAACTCCACAGCAGTAAGCTCTCAGGCACTGCAAATTTTCCTTTGAGACAGAAATGAATGTTTCTCTTCTCTCTCATTAAAAAAAAAAAAAAAAGGCATATCTCATTCCCCCAAGAATCTTAGGCATTCACCAAAGGCACGTATGACACTGGAAATAATATTCTCACCTTCCTTGACAAACCTTTCACTTAAAACAGGCCCTGCACCATGACTGCATTACACTATCATAACAGGTTTCTCACAGATAAGTTGTTTGTTAAGTTGTTTTTAGAAGAAAATAAATCTTTAAGCTGCCCAAATGACCGAGGCACTCAGAATAACCTTAGGACTATCCTTTGGAGAAGACACAAGGTCTCACTTTCAGTAGATGCCTGACGTCAGACCAGAGAGGGAACATAAGACAGGCAAAGGTTACATGCAAACTGTCCCCTGTGGCTTATGCAAGAGCCAAATAACCACTGCTCAGGAGAGATGCACATAAAAAGAACTCACTGGAAATTATTTTTAATATAAGCAAACCAAAACTGCTTGTGAGTTGTAGGGTATGGTGATGCCACAGACTAATCTGAACAGCTCCCATTTCAGGTCTCTAAAACAAGCATTCAGTAAGTAATTCACGTTACATCATGGTAAACATAAGTTCTGGGTATTTAGAGTGTAACTCACTGTAAATACAAACTAACTGGAAAGTTGATGGAATGTCCTCTAGCTGTACATGAGCTTGCTAAGGGAAGAGTTCAGACTAGCAACACTGAAATTGCTTCACAGTTATGTAGAAAAAAGTTACAATTCTTTTTCATAGAACATTACACTAGTTTGTTATTTTGTCTACAGTTAAAGTGGGCTTATAGTCAGGATTATTAAATGAACAGCAAAACAGCTGCCAAAACTATTTAAGGGAATGTGATTGAAAGCGAAGAACTTTGATTAAAGCATAATTTTTAAACTTTGTTTTCTAACCCTAAGTTATTAAAATACAGAAAAAAAGTCATCATTATTTCAAAAAGACACATCATTGAAAAAGAAGTTCCATTCCTTACAATACGGTTTAAAACTAACATAGAAGAAAACAGTGCTACATTAAATGCAGTCAAGAGCATTTGGATGGCATTATTTAAGCATAATCTTATGTTCTCTGTTATATGGTCCAGCCATGGACTTTTCCTTGCTTTAATGTACATTTGATGATCACTAAACATTACCCACTCATCCTGATGTGGGCTGTCCACATACACTGTGTTAACACTTAAGAGTCAGCATTTATGTACAATTTAAGAGCAGCACAGCTATCCTACACCCTACAGCTTTGCTCACTCCACTGCAGTACTGGAGCGAGCACAGCAGCTTGGATATCTCAGGGAATGCATCATTGTTCTGAAAGGCCTTTTTTTCCCAGTTTTTTCAGGGGCTGGTTCCTCATTACTTTTCTCAGCTGCCTCAGCAGGCTCTGTCTGGAACTGTTCTATTTGAAACTCGAGATGTTTTTGAATGGCTACCCCGAGGACTTCCGGATCTACAGATGCCCCATATACTTCCCATGTCATTCCTTCATCGTCCCATCTCACTTCACGAACTGGAGATTTGGGGGCCTCCAAATCTTGCTCCAGGTTCACCTCTGGGAACACATGTGAGTGACCTTCTGCTGCAGCTGCTGGGCTTGTTGCCACTGATTTGCATTCCATGGTTGGAAGAGTTTGTACCTCGGCATCTCTGCGCTCCAGAGCTGGTTTCAGGCCTTTGGTTATGTCATTCATAGAGGTCATAGTCCACATATCCTTAGTTGTCACTACCACATCTGCACCTTGCTGGCTGCTCAGGGCAACATGGGCAGCCTTGGCTTCTGGAGGAACTATCTCCTGCTGAGCAGGTTGCAGTTGCTCTCCAGGAACGTTACAGCACTTCAGGATTTTCTTGGCATCCAGGCCTGATTCACTTACTGAAGACACCAGCTTAGGATATGTCAGAATGTCTGAAGCAGAAAAGGAATTAAAGTAGCCAGGTGCTGCCTGCTCTTTTCCTGTCTCACTGACAGAGCACACCAACCGTGGAACGAGCTGTATGGATGGGATGGGCAAGGAGTGGCAATAGGCCGGGATGGTGGCATCTGCCTTCAAGGCATCCTGCCTGAGACTGCAGGGCCCCAAAGAGTTGTTGTGAACCGTCATCACCATGGGGGAGTACGCAGAATTTGGAATATTACCATAAGTCAGACCACCATGAACAATCCCAGGAGCTTGACTGAACATTGTCCTGTTTGGGAAACCATTTCCAGGCATGTGGGGTCCTAGAACAGCAGCATGAAATGTGCTAGGATCTGTGTAAACAGTAGCGTTATGTGGAATACTGCCACTGCCAAAGGTATTTGTGGGTACTTGTTGGTCTCTAGGTAGGACCGGAAGATGAGTCACAAGGTTTTGATAGTGAGATGTATTCTCATTTGTTTCTGATCCATACCTCTGCGTTTGGAAAGACATCCTAGCCACTGGCAGACAATGCCTGCAGCCAGAAGAGTTTAGGCTGGAGTGAGTAGAACTGGTTTCTATGTGAGTGACATAAGTCTGCTGTTTGCAGCTGCAGGTTAGGTCTGAGTGGCTTCTCTGAAGGGCAGTTCCTGATTCTTCCATTTCACACATGCCTTGCTGGTGAACAAAGCAGGCTGAAGAAACATTCTCAGCAGTGCTGCTCTTTACACACATCTTAGCGTCCCCAGCTTCCCAGGGTGCTGAGACCTGTTCAGTGACAAGAACATGGTTTGTATTCTTAGTTCTGCCCTCTGAATGGTCATTGGCTGATGGGTTTTTATTTATGCTCTGGACCTCTGATCCAAGTCCCATCACCCCAGGCTGAGAGGAGGACCATCCGGGACTCCCTGCATCACTCCCTGCATCACTCCTGTTTTCCAGGATACGGCAGATGGTGCTGCTATGGCTTTTCTTCAACTCCTGTTTGTTTTGCCTTTCCTCTAAACTCCTTGAGTGCCCAAGAGAGGCCAGATTTGAGGAGCTCTTGGATAGGGGGTGGCTGTTGACATTCAAGAGACTGTGACAAGTAGAGCTTAGTGAGTCCTGGTAGGAATGGGTGTGGAGCTGGTGTCTTTCAGATGACATGGCAAAAAAAGAGAGATCTGCAAGAAACGGTGGAAAAGAAAAAGGAACAATTTAAGTAGGAAATAAGTGTAATGGAAACTTTAATCTCTACTGACCTTCTGCATGGGCTTCTTGCCTTTCACAGTTCAAAAATACTTTTTAAAAAGCACAGTACTCTAGTCTAAGTGTACTCAGACCAGTTGGTTTCCATTTTCACTTTCCCCAAAGAGTTTTTCCCTAAATTAGATCCAGGGTTTTTTTAAATTCTGGTGGTTTTTTCCCAATTCATAAAACACAAAAGGAAAAAATCCTTCTTGGTTTCTACCTTTTAACAATAACTATCTCAACATTATCAAGTATCATCTTCCCAAATTCATTGGAGCCATTTTTGAAACATCCAGACATGTCAGGTAACTTAAGCAAAGACAGAGATATTTTCATACTAGATAGCTTTTCACCACAGTGGTCATTAAGCCAATGATATTAACTGTATTGTCAAAACAAAACAAAACAAAAAATTAATTTTTAGTCTCTTGACATCATAATTTCAGAAGTTATCCAGTCATTGATGGAGCTTTTAAACCTTAAAGCCACAACAACTGAACAAGTTCTCCCCTTTCCCCATACCTTTTCTAACAAACTTCTTGATATTTCATGTTACAAGAAGATCACTGTTTTAGTCCACTGCTTTCCCTGAGCACACACAAGTGTACAGTAGGTATGGACAAAGCTGTTTTAATGTCCTTGACAGAGATTACCTGAAACACAAGGAAATTACCTCTGCCAGACCAGTGCAGGGTCACTGCCAGTGTTCCCAGAACAAATAATGTTGGGCAGTATTCCAGCTTGTGCTCACCTCTGGCACCACAGGAGGTGGCTACAAAGATAGATCTAGAGAAAGGCTGGAGATGAAATTCCCCTCTCTCTGTAAGGAGAATCTGTACCTCAGCACTGCCACTGTAAAGGGTGCATGCTCTGGGCTCTTGAGCTGCTCACCTTTGCAAATCCTCAAGCTCATGCTGGCTGTGGAAGGTGCACATTCATGCCACCAGATACAGGGTAAAAATGAAACAAGAAAATCTTTAGCCAAAGTCTTGAAGTTCTTCTGTCCTTTTTTATAGTGTACTCAGTCATTTCTAATTTTAGAAAACCCTTTTTTCTACCAGTTGGTTCCGTACCCTATAGGTTATTAACATTTAACAGTTTCATGTTAGCAGTTTCACATCTAATGGAAGTTGTGATTGAAGATTTTGAATCTCACCAGATTTAGCTGATTGAATCAGATATTCCACTGATTCACTATACATATTGCCTTGCTGTCACAGAGGTGTTGCAACATTTGTACAACTAAAGTTATTTTAACACGCTGATACACCTGTATCTATCCACCCAAATACATATATGTCTTTTCTACAAGAACTCACTGTATTGAACAGAAATATCCAGAGTACCTGTGCTTTGCTTCCAGGCCAAGTACTACCAAGTACATCTGTTGTGCAGATGTAGAGTGAAAGCCAGAATTTCTCATTTTGGACAAGTTTCCCTCAGATATCCTCTATGTACTCTGTCTCCTTAGCAGGTCTTGTGACAGAAACCAGTACAATTTCTTGTGCACTATATCACTTAAATAAAAATGCATGTGTGGAACAGGAAAGGTACATACACATGGTGAACAAAAGCACTCTGCAAACGTAACAGGGAAGTTCACTCTTACCATCAAGGACACAGTGGCTGGCTGCAAGGGATCACATTCAACCCTCTCAGTGAGAAGCTTCTCGTCTGTGATTCTTTTATGTGATATTTACAGGCTTCAAGAGTCATGTACCAACATAACTGAAAAGAACATGCCTTTTGCTACCTCTGCCAACCAAGAGCACTATAGCTGATTCAGGCTGCTATCAGTGTTTGTAATTCCATTTTCATTGTTAACTTCGGCAGGCTAACAAGTTGCAATTTTCCCAACACCTGAAATCTACTCATGTTGGCTGTTTTCCATAATGAAATTAAATTGAGCATGACAACATTAAAAAATAATAATATTTGCAATCACATTCTTACAAAAATTCTCATTGTGGGCTGTGTAGCAGGGACTTGTGACCAGCAGCAACATCCTCTAGCACAGGGTTTGCTCCAATTTAGACTGTATGCAGAAAAAAGGTGATTTCCCATCCTCCATACGTTACCTCTCCTGTGGCCAGTTCCACACACGACTATAGTCTGCCACACAGGGTTCAAAGGAGTCAAGAGGATTAAACACCAGAGCAATAGCTGTCTACAAGGTGAAAACCTTACATTTAATCTCTTTAGAAGATAACACCTGCAAAGGCTCTCACACACACCTGGATGAAACAACACTTACTAATGGAAATCCTCAGACACAAATATTGAGACTCGGGTGAAAGGAAGCTTTAAACATATCCTGTTACAAATGATACATGGCTGTGGGAAGTTTGAAGGGCTCTCTTACAAAGTTTACAGCATTCAAATATGTACATGTACACAGAAACCAAGGTCTTTATTTGCTTTCTTTATGTAGCAGTAGACTGCAGAAGCCTCTGTAACTGAAAGAAGTGATGCGTTTGAAACTAATTTGTCACCTCACATAGAACACGTTCAGATGGATCAAACAGACCAAACACAGTGACATCACTGAAAGCAACATCCAGGGTGATGTTGGCAAGGAAATCTCCAGAGGAAATTCTGAAGATATTTATTTTTGCCCACTGCAGGTGAAATCACTACCAAACATGGGCTGATGTGACATATATTACACATGTACATGTAGAATATTCTAACCAGCTACTCCCAACGGTATCTGAACATTGCTGCACAGGCAGACCAGTGTTCCACACTACCATAATTTTCACAGTTCTCCTATGGCCTTGGGCTTCCCAAACTCTGCACTTCACAGGTGCACCACTGGCACCGATTGCTCAGGGTGCACAAAAAAGGGTGAGAAGAGGCCCAGCACCGCACACACACCTCCCGAGGTGCCAGGCCTCCCTCTGAGCCCAGTGTCCTGCCCATGGCTTCTGGGAAAGGCTGGGAAGCAGGAGGGTCTGGATGATCCTTAGGACACCTCTGCCAGCGAGGGGCTGGGTCTCCTACGGAGAATGAGGTGCCAAATGTTTTAAAAATCCAACCCCAAAACATGGAGCCTCTTCAATGTCACAGCCATGCAACACCTTTTTATTTTGTGAATCAGCTAATCAGGAATGGATTACCCTCATGAAACATGGATAGAAACACACTGATTTTGGGTACATAGGCACCCAAAACAACTTTCTTTGTGCATGCTGGGCAGAGCAGACTGCTTGGCTTAACTTTCATTTTTAAAATGTAAAAATATAGTTTATAGGAAAGGAATTTTACTCCAAAACATCTACTTTAAGTCCTGAGTCTGAAAGATTTTGATTTGAAATTTCAAAGGAAATTCACACCTGAATACACAAACAGGAAAGTATGAATTTTTGAGGCAGATATTCTGCTATGAATATATAGAAAATTGTTAGACAAGCAGAGAAAGGATTAGGATAGAAATGGAATTAACATCCACTATTTTTGGCTTAGCTTCAGATAGCTTATGAGGGGATCTAGGCTGCTTTCACTAATTCCACTGAACTACTTTAAAGCAACAAACGTGTATTTTGCTATGACTTATGATTAAAGTTTTGACCTATTTAACGCATCAGTAAATTCAGTCTCAAAATATTAAATATAATGTATGTTATCAATTGAAAGACATTCACTGTAAATTAACTATGATTCTAAAATCCTTTGGTATTTTTGTATTCTGCACATGTACTTCAATTGAAATTTTCACAACACTCATGTTTTAGTTTGAAACTGTTCCCCCTTGTCCTATCTGCCCACGTTAAAAGTCCTGTTCCCTCTTTTTTTAAGAACCCCCATTTAGTACTACGTTACTATAGTAAGTTAACAGACAGTGAACCAGTGAGAATCATCTGACATGCTGAACAACACGAGTTAGTTGCAGAATTTGGGAAGAGTCAGAGAAATTTAATACTACTTACTAGAAACATGCATGCAATGCCAGAGACTTCTCTAAATCTTCCAGTTATTTTTTCTTTATATAACTCTGATGGTCAACCCACAAGTCAACAAGATTTGTAATAATGACTGCAGCTGTTTCACCCATCTTCACTTGGCTAATCATACAATAAAAAAAATGGTTTTCTTAATTTTATGCTTTCAAAACCAGCATCTGACTGCAAAATAATCAAAGCCATTTCAGGGGTGAGAGCACTAATATGCAAATGTGGAATTTGGAAAAGCTAAGCTACCTGATCCATAGCAACATTTTTGGATAATGACTGTTATTTTTGGATGCTGACCAGGACCCTCCGTGGCAGGACTAGCCCATTCAGAGAAGACACTTTCTGAGAAGTGTTAGGGGGTTGCAAGGTCTTTGTCCTGAATTTGCTCCTCCATTTGCATTATTCTGGCCCTGCAATAACCAGCTCCACAAGGCAAACACAGAATTTCTGCAACTCTGCAACCCTAACTCCAAGACAAACACAATTGTATTTTATACATGAAGAATAGTGCCATTTTAATAAAGAAATTTACTTGAATAGAAGGCTGGTAGATAGAGGTTCTTAACTTTATTTAATCTTATTACAAACACCATGGTTATAAATTTGAAAGTTAAGAGCAATTTATGGCTAAAATGATGGAACTTTAATTACTAAATTAATTAATCCTAAGGGGCAGTGGTCACTTAGCCATAAACACTGCTGACCCCTGCCTGGAGCACAAGGCAGCATATACAGGAAAACCTGCATTTCTGCCCAAACAGCCAAGCTCTCTCAGGTACCAGAAGCAATTCAGTATATTCATACTGGGTTCTCTTCAGACCTGGCATTTTATAAGCAATGTGGCTTCCTTACTGCAATCCATAACTAAACTTCTAAGATACATGCTTAAGGTGGTAAAATGACATAAAAAGGAACATCATCTAATATGACATTCATTTATTTTACAGTTGTACTAATTTTAAAGAAACTTATACCATCAA